AGGAGGAGGAGGAGGAGGAGGAGGAGGAGGAGGAGGAGGAGGAGGAGGAGGAGGAGGGGCGGAAACAGAAACAGGAGGAGAGGAGGAGGAGGAGGGGAAGGAAGGGGGAGGGAGGAGGAGGAGGAGGAGGAGGAGGAGGAGGAGGAGGAGGAGGAGGAGGAGGAGGTGGAGGAGGAGGAGGAGGAGGAGGAGGAGGAGGAGGAGAGGAGGAGGAGGAGGAGGAGGAGGAGGAGGACCTGCCCGTGCGCCGCCCCTCTTCCGCCGCCCCCTTCGTCGCAGCACCAGGCCCTCGACGCGATCTTCTGCGGCGACGCGGGCCCCCCTCGGAGCTCTCAGGCCCGTGCCTGCGATCATCTTGTCGCCTCGGTGTGCACTGGATGGTCCCACGACGCGAGAACCAAAACGAGGGCGACGTGGGCCTCCCAGGGCGCGTGATTTTCTGCGGCGACGTGGGCCTCCCTCGGAGCTCTCGGGCCCTTGCCTGTGATTATCTTGTCGCCTCGGTGTGCATTGGATGGTCCCAGGGCGCGAGAACCAAAAGAAGGGACGATTGGCAGTTCTTGTCTGCTTCGTGCAGAAATGGGGTCTGGGGTCGTCGTCCGCCGCCTCCTCGACAAGAGCTTCCGGACGTCAGGGGACGCCTTTCACGACCGCGTCGGCCCAGGTCCCGCCCACACCCGAGCACTTCGCGCCAGGCCCCAGCAGTTCCGATACCCCCCCTGCCCAGGGGCGGATGAGGGTGATGGGGGTGGAGCAGGAGACAGGTCGGTCAGTCGGACTCGGCATTGCGTCAGTCTGCGCGCCCCCCAAGAAGGAGGTGAGGAGGGAGGGGGGAGTAGGGAGGAAGGACGAGGAGGGAGGAAGGACGAGGAGGAAGAGGAGGAGGAGGCGGAGGAGGAGGAGGAGGAGGAGGAGGAGGAGGAGGAGGGGGGCCAGAGGATGAAGGCAGGGGGGACAGGAGACAGAGGAAATGGGCGATGGGGGAGGAGGGGGGCAGGACGAGGGGGAGGGGAGCCATGGGAGGACGTTGAGGGGGGACAGGAGAAAGAGGCGAGGAGGCAGGGGAGAAGGGGGGGGAGGAGGAGGACGAGGAGGAGAGGTGCTGGACGAGGTTATGGCGGGGGGGGGGCAGGAGAACGAGGCGCGGAGGGAGGAAGGGAGCAGCGGGGAGGGAGAGGACGCAGCCGCTCCGAGCAGGGAGGGGCGCCGCCGACGCACAGGCCGAGGCCGAGGCCGAGGCCGGCGACGACCCCGCAGCCACGGACGTCGACGAGGACCAGGCCTCGGAGGCTCGGGCGGGCCCTCCGACCCCCTCCGCGCGGCCCTCCGCCCCCCTCGCCCCCCCCCCGTCCTCGGAGCGCCGGCGGGGGCCTGAGGTGGCCCCAGCCTTCCTCCTCCTCCTCCCCTCATCCTCCTCCCTCCTCCTCCTCCTCTCCTCCTCCCCTCTTTCCTCCTCCTCCCTCCTCTCCTCCTCCTCCTCCTCTCCTCCTCCTCCCCTCTTTCCTCCTCCTTCTCCTCCTCCTCCACGGAGGCCACGCCGAGGTGGGCCCGCCAGCGGGAGCGGGAGGCGGGGGAAGAGGTTCTCGAGGCTCTTCAGGAGGGGGAGAACCAAGCACAGAGACGCAACTAGCCGTCGATCCCCAGGAAAATGTGGGAAGCTATGGGAAGCGGGGGGCAAGACAAATCCACCCAGGAAATATATGGGAAAGCATGGGGGAATCTTTTGATTTGTGTGTATTTGTTTGTGTGTTTGTGGGCCCCTTCACCCTCCGCGCCGCCCCCCGCTCGAGAGGTTCGGGGTTCTGGCTTCGAGAGGGTGTTGGGGCCCCGCTCTGCCTCCGGGGGCCCTTTTTCCGGATCCGGCGACCGTCGAGACATGGATGCGGCAGGAAAAAAACTACCCCAAAGGGACCCAAGAAGGGAAGCCCAGGGAGCGATCTTGAACGGATTTGCTTCGGCCCCCCCTTGCTTGACATATTGCGAAGGGTGCCGCCGACCCTGTAGGGAGACGACGACGACGACGACGACGACGACGACGACGACGACGACGACGACGACGACGACGACGACGACGACGACGACGAGGGAGACGACGACGACGAGGGAGACGACGACGACGACGTCGACGACGACGACAGTGGTTTTGACATATTTTCTCGGGGCCCACCCAGTGCAGACCCCCCGACCGCCTCCCCCCCCCCCCCTCTGGCGCTCAAGACGGGGGGCGCCCACGGAGGAGGAGGAGGAGGAGGAGGAGGAGGAGGAGGAGGAGGAGGAGGAGGAGGAGGAGGGAGGAGGAGGAGGAGGTGGAGGAGGAGGAGGAGGAGGAGGAGGAGGAGGAGGAGGACACGACGTTTGTTTTGCCCTGCAGGCGCGAGGCCCTGCAGCCGCCTGCGTGGCGAGATCAGCGGTGGACTGGGGACGCAGACGGGGAGTCTCTCTCTGTCCCTCGTTTTCTGCTCCTTCTCTGTGTTTCTCTCTCTCTCTCTCTCTCTCTCTTTCTCACTCTCTCTCTCTCTCTCTCCCTCCATGTCGCGATCGCCCCTCCTCTTCCCTCCTCTCCCGCCCTCCCTCCCTTCGATCCCCCCGGCCCCTTGCGCGTATCCTTCACTCCCTCCGTCCCGCTCTCCCTCTCCCCACTGTTCTGCTAGACTGAGCCGCAAGAGAACATGATGCCATCTGGGAAGCACAGTCCGCTTGAACGGAGGGCGACGAGACAAAGTTTGATAGTTCTGGTAATAACGGTGACGATGGCTCTTCCTGCCTGTTCGATTGCTGCCTCCCCCTGGCCCTCTTGGCTTTGGTGTGTCCGTAGCAATTGAGTCTCTGTCTCAATACACTGAGAGGATCCGCAGCCACTTTCGGACCTGTACCACATTAACTTTAACTACATCCACGTGCCGATGGCGCCCACTGCCGTGACAGGCCTTGCGCTGCTCTTGGCTCGGGCCGGCCTGACCGACGCCCTGTCTATGAGGGAGTCGGACCCGACGTTTCAGATGAGCGAGGCCGACACGAGCGCCGAGCCCACGAACCAGGCCGAGCACGGTCGCCCCGAGAAGAGGATCGCGTACCAGACGCATCGCGACGTCGAGGACGCGGACGAGCTCGAGGCGCACAAGCAGATCTACCACAGGGCCGGGGAGGTGCTGGGCGGGTCCCAGAACATTCGGGCCGAGCGAAAGGGGGGGATTGGGAAAGGGCTGGGTACGAAATCTGCTGCATGCAGCTGGTTTCGATACATAGCCGAGGGGCCCATTCCTCGATACATGGCCGCCTCCGGCGCTGGGAGCCGCTGGGAAAATCAGCTACGCGAGCTGATTCTCAACCCCCCCCTTTGCTATCCCCCCCTTTCGCCCGGCCCGAAACATGCGCCACTCGAAGCACATCCTGCAGTTCGTCATGTCGCACCCGCACGCCCCGGTGCTGCCCCACGGCGGGTGCCTGTACCTCCCCAGCGACAGGGTCTGGGCGGCCTTCTACAGGCACGTGGAGCACCCGGTGCCGACGCTCTTCGGCGACATGATCGCCAACTCGTACTACCCGGGCTGCAACCAGACGTCGGTGTTCAGGAGGGAAAAAAACACACAGACACAATTAATCGTCGAATCCCAGAAAATATAGGAAAATATGGGAAATGGGGGGGAAGACAAAAACACAGAAAATATGAGAAAATATGGGGGATCTTTTTAATTGTGAGTATTTATTTGTGTGTCCTGGGGCCCCTTCAGGTGTCTGGCCTGCGGCTCCCGCCTTCGTGCGGCCCCGGCTCCCTGGAGGGCTCCCGGGGCTGCTTCCGCGTGGCCAGCCTCGGCAGCGCCGCCGGCGTCGAGGTCTACGAGACCAGCGGCCACCTCGGGCTGCCGGACCAGTGGTCCTACCACATCGCGCACACGCAGCCGAGGCACCTCAGGAGGGCCAAAGAGGGCGGCAGCAGGGGGAGCAAGTGCGGCCGCGAGCTGCCCGAGGTGCCCAAGGCTCACAGGCTGGAGATCCCGACGAGGTACGTGGTGTGCCAGAAGTCGGACGCCGACCGAACAATCACCGAGGAGCACGTGAGGGAGCAGAACAGGTGGGCCAACGAGGCCTTCAGCGGCAAGTCGCCCTGGAAGGAGATGAGCTTCGATGCCGCGCACCCGCCCTCCGTGGACATGCAGATCAGCTTCAAGCTCGTGAACATCTCTATCGTGACCGACATCGCGTGTGCCCGCCAGGGGTTCACGAACACGCGGCTGATGCACAAGTACAACGAGCACGCGGAGAACTTCTTCACCGTCGTCATCATCACGAACGACCAGTCTGGCGTCCTGGGGCAGACCGAGTTCCCGCACGACCTGGCAGAGGAGGACCCGGAGAACATGGTCGTGGTGTCGTCCGTTGGGTTCCGGGGCGACGCTTCCAGGTATAACGGAGACATGATGTACGACGAGGGGGACACGGTGGTGCACGAGGCGGGCCATGGATTCGGCCTGTACCACACTTTCGAGGGCAGCTGCGGGGGACGCGGCGACTACGTCGACGACACGCAGGAGGAGGCGATGCCGCACTACGACTGCGTCAGCGACCGCTCTTGCGGCGGAGACACGGATCCGGTCCACAATTTCATGGACTACTCCCCCGACACGTGCATGGTGGGCTTCACGGAGGGCCAGAAGCGCCGCGCGTGGTGCGAGCTGGAGAACCACCGCTCTGGCCTCTACCAGCAGTCTTTGAAGAAGGCGGCGGGGAGCTCGTCGTACTGACCGTAGCGGAGAGCATGATAACATTTTAGACGGCCTGTTGGCTTCGCCCCAGCGGCAGCTGCGTCCTTGTTCAGGATGGTAGAAGCGGTCCAGCCGCGTTGTAGAGCGGCTGTGTTCCGGCCGTGTTCCAGCTGCGCCAGCGGAAAAAGTTCAATGCGAGAGATCGGGCCATGGCGGCGCAGCACAGCTGAGGCGCGCCCCACCTTCGAAGCCCCCCTGGCTTTTGTGATTATTGAATCGCTTCGCGCATTCCGCCGGCCCATAATTGCGTGCCGTTGTCGACTGACCGAGTGGTCCTTCGCGGTGCGGAGCTGCAGGGGCGGCGGTTGTTTTTATCAGGCTTTGCGTTCGGCACGTGAGGCTCTTTGGTGGCCGCTGGGGGAGTCTTGAACGCGTCGCGGGCCGTCGGGAAGCGTTTTGCCTATGGAGACTCTTTCGGGAGGCCTCTTGGTGGCCTCGTGGGGACTCTTAAACGCGTCGGGTCGTTGGCACTTGCGTGCGTGCTCGGGAGGGCATTTGGGGGGCCTCCTGGGGCCGCTTGGGGGCCTCGTGGAGGCCTCCTGAGGGCCTGTTGGGGGCCTCTTGGGGCTTCTTAGGGGCCTCTTGGGGATATCTGAGGGCTTCTTAGGGCCGAGGGCTCGAAATGTTGATTCGTGTTCCCCCCCCTGCTGGGACCTCTCTTGGGGCGTTCTTGGGGCCGTCTTGGAGGCCTCTTGGGTGGTCTTTGAGCCCTCTGGGGCCGTCTTGGGGCCCTCGTGGGGGCCTCTTGGGCCCTGTTGGGGCGGTCTTGGGGGCCTCTTGGGCCGTCTTGGGGTGTGGGGAAGCCGAAAAGGTGGAAACGCCAAAATCTTTTCAACACCTAAGGAAAAGGCAATGATTTTTGCCTTTGGGGGGCCTCCTGGGGCTTCTTAGGGGGCCTCTTGGGGCCTCCTGAGGGCCTGTTGAGGGCGTCTTGGGGCATCTTAGGGGCCTCTTGGGGATTTCTAGGGCCTTCTCAAGGCCGAGAGCTCGAAATGCTGATTCGTGTTCCCCCCCTGGGACCTCTCTTGGAGCGTTTATGGGGCCTTCTTGAGCCGTATTGGAGGCTTCTTGGGCCGTTTCGGGGCCCTCTTGGGCCGTCTTGGAGCCCTCTTGGGAGCCTCTTGGGCCCTGTTTGGGCGGTCTTGGGGGCCTCTTGGGCCGTCTTGGGGTGTGGGGAAGCCGAAAAGGTGGAAACGCCAAAATCTTTTCAACACCTAAGGAAAAGGCAATGCATTTTGCCTTTGGGGGGCCTCCTGGGGCCTCTTAGGGGGCCTCTTGGGGCCTCCTGAAGGCCTGTTGGGGGCGTCTTGGGGCCTCTTAGGGGCCTCTTGGGGATGTCTTGGGCCTTCTTAGGGCCGAGAGCTCGAAATGTTGATTCGTGTTCCCCCCCTGGGACCTCTCTTGGAGCGTTTATGGGGCCTTCTTGAGCCGTCTTGGAGGCTTCTTGGGCCGTTTCGGGGCCCTCTTGGGCCGTCTTGGAGCCCTCTTGAGCCCTCTTGGGCCCTGTTGGGGCGGTCTTGGGGGCCTCTTGGGCCGTCTTGGGGTTCTCCTGGGGCCGCTTGGGGGCCTCTTCGGGGCCTCCTGGGGGCCTGTTGAGGGCGTCTTGGGGTCTCTTATGGACCTCTTGGGAATTCCCGGGGCCTTCTTAGGGCCGAGAGCTCGAAATGCTGTTTCGTGTTCCCCCCCTGGGACCTCTCTTGGGGCGTTCTTGGGGCCTTCTTGGGCCGTCTTGGAAGCCTCTTTGGCCGCTTCGGAGCCCTCTTGGGCCGTCTTGGAGCCCTCTTGAGCCCTCTAGGGCCCTGTTGAGGCGGTCTTGGGGGCCTCTTAGGCCGCCGTGGGGTGTCGGGAAGCCGAAAAGGTGGAAACGCCAACATCTTTCCAATTTTGTTTTGCAAGACAATGAATTTTGCCTCTTGGGGCCCTCTTGAGAGTGCTCTGGGAGGCGTGTTGGGCCGTCTGGGGGGCATCTTGTGCGTCTTGGAGCAATCTTGTGGCATCTCGGAGCTCTCTTGCATCATCTTGAGGGTTTCTTGGCGGCCTCTTGGCCTCGAGGGCGGCGCCCAGAAGGAAAACCATCTCTGATTTGCAGCGCCCGGGCTTCGCCAGGGGTACTTTCCTTCCGGGGACCCCCAGGGGCCGCCCCGCGCGCGCTAAGTTACTGTAAAGCAGTTACCGGAGATCTTAGCACGCCTCTGGCCCGTAGGGCCGGCGAAATTGCAATCAGATGCTCTTCGGAATACACGGTGCAATCATGGGAGTTGGGTCAATGTTGAATGTTAGACCCAGGCAACCATGCAGGTCGGAAGCGCGCAGGTACGCAATTAACCGCACATCCAAACGCGCGCGGAAGCGAACAGACGCATGCACATGGACGCAGTTGTATGGAAGAGAGGTTCTCGCCTCCCGCTTCGCTGGAGCTTCGACTGGTCTCAGGGCCTCGGTGGCTGTCAGGTATTTTTCGGACCGCAAGGCAACGCGGCCAACTCGCGGAGGACGAAGAGGAGAGAAGAAGGGAATGATGGCTGGATTAACATGGAGGGAGGGGTGAGGAGGAGGAGGAGGAGGAGGAGGAGGAGGAGGAGGAGGAGGAGGTAGACGAGGAGGAGGACCGGGGGGAGGGGGAGGAGGGGTAAGAGTGTAAGGGCTACGCCAGCCAGCAGACCCCACTCCATCGACAAAACTATGAAGGGCTGTGCCATTCCGCCTACGAACTCCACTCCACCAGGGGGGATGGGAACGTGAGAGGAGGAGAAGGGAAGGGAGGCGGAGGGATAGAGAGGGGACGGCGGGGCAGGGAACCTCCTCCTGGCTTCCCCCTTCGCATTCCCCCGTTGTGCCTGATGGTAACTGCGCCTGAGGCTTAGGAGGCCTCCATCTGGATGCATGATTCAGACCTGTCCGTTCATAGACCTTCAGAGCCCCGAATCATCAGGGGTAACTCGGGTCAGGGTTAACTCGGGTTCGTTTTTCGGGAATCCGAGCCCGACTTACCCCGGACCCGAGTTACCCCGGATAATTCGGGCATCCGGAGCCCCGAATCATCAGGGGTAACTCGGGTCAGGGCTAACTCGGGTTCCTTTTTCGGGAATCCAAGCCCGAGTTACCCCAGACCCGAGTTATCCCGGATAACTCGGGGCGCCCAAGACCTGGGCGCGGAAATGGAGGGGCAGGGCCAGGTGCAGTGAGCGGGAGGGCCTGGGGATGGGGTCAGAGGGATGCGAGGGGGGGCGGAGAGTGTGGGGGGGGGGGCCAGGGGAAGAATTTGGGGCGCCGCCAGGGGAGAGATGTCAGTGCCAAGTCGGGCCTGTCCCTCTGCAGGAGGAGTATCGAAAAATAGTTGAAGAGTAGTCCAGGGATTGATCTTTCATTAGTTTCGAATATGTTTCAAGTCGTTTTTTGACTATTTTACTTTTCGTCCAAAATCCGCCTGTAGAAAGACATGCCCGGCCTAAGGTTCGGGCCAGGAGGCGATCTGGAGGGTCAGAGGGAGGGTCCAGGGGAGAGCCAGGAAGGCTGTGGGGGGGGTCAGGGGGAAGTCAGCGGGAGGAAGGGTGAAGGTGATTTGGACACATTGTTATATCTAATGGGAAAAATCCTGGGGAGGCCTTTCCAAGGGGGGTTGTCCAGGGGCTGTTGTCCGGATGCTGGCGGTATTGTCTAGCCAGTTTTGCATGAGACATCCTAGCAACCTCCTGGGCTCCGGTATACTCTGACCTGAGGTGGTCCTGCCAGTTTCGCATGAGATGTCCTCCAGATGTTGGGCTCAGGGATGCCGCGCGCAAAGTTGCTCGGCAAGTTTCGCCTGAGACATCATCGTAACTCTGGGCTCAAAGGTGCCCTGCCCGGAGGTGTTCCACGTAGTTTCACCTGAGACATCCTCACAATTCTGGAGTCGGAGATGCCGCGCGAGAGCTGGTCTGGCCAGTTCCACATGAGACATCCTCGCAACACTGTGCGCTGGCCACGTCCCTGAATGGGAACGGTGCTCTCGCCTCAACGCTGGCTGCATGCTTTATGGGTCACGTATGGTGTTGCCGCTCGAGTGCCAGCCACATCCGCGATTGGGAGTGGTGCTCTCGCCCCAGCTCTGGCTACATCCCTGTCTGGGATTGGTGCTGTCAGCTGCGCGCTGGCCGCTGGCCACCTCCCTCATCATGCGGCGTGGTGCTCTCGCCTCAGCGCAGGGCACATCCCAAAACGTCGGCAGTTACTGTTCTGCCGCTCGATCGCCAGCCACAATCACATGCTGGGACGGTTCTGCTATGCATCCTGGTGGGGTTGTCGGGGTTGTCCGCGGGGGGGAGGGGTATGGGGATTTTTGGGGATTATACGTTTGTTCCATGGAACATAGTAACCAGATTCTTCGCCATGGCCGTCGAGATTGAATTGATCGACATGGGCATTGACCGCGGCGGTCTCCTCTTTATTGTTAGCGCTGCGAACAGCGATGGTTGCATTCTCTGAGCTGGTTTGGAAAGCTCTTCCGTGTTCCACCATGCCAAAAGGCGTTTGATCACGGTGCGTAGCGCAGCCCCTCAGACTCCCCCCCCCCTCGTTCGTCCTTCACCCATCCCGCCTCCCTTCTCATTCCTTCCCTCTCCCCCCCCCCCTCGTTGTCCTCCTCCCCCTCCTCAAGAATCGTCTCCCGTACCCCCGACCTCTCCAGGGCTGTGCGACGATCAGTCTTCCAGGGTGAACGAGAAGCCTCGGGGATGCCGCACGACATGCGAGAAGCGCCACGTGGCCTCGCCCCTCGGGCATCGATCCCTCCCCTCCCCCTCCCCGGGCAGCCGGCTGCTCCACAGTTTTCGATGCGGGGGCCCCGGCGGTCTGTGGGCCACTTCCCTATAGGGCTGGTGTTTCGTCTTTAGTCGTTCTGTCCACGGCCCCCGGGGCCCAGCGAGGGCCCCCGGAGGCCGAACACAGCCATCGGGTGCGGCCGAGAGGGGAGCGATGACTGGGGGGGTGGATATCATGGCGTGGGCCCTGATGTTTCCTCAGAGTCCATGGCGCCTCGTCTTGCTTCAGCACGTCCCCGGGCCCCCCCCCTGCACATGGCCGCCGGCCATGAGTTGCGCCCCCCTCTCTTGGACGCCCCCCTCCTGGCCGCCCTCGACGCCGAGCATCGCCCGCTCCGCTTCTTGCTGGAGGAGCGTCGGGTCGCGGGGTCTGCTCCGCCCAGGCCGACGAGGCTGCCTCCCGGCGCCCCGCGTGGTACGTCGGGGAGCAGTGGGCAG